GAATGAGTATTGGTCTATATAATTCCTACATTTCTTTATATATACAGATCTGTACCATTAAAAACGTGTGCTTCCATTATTTTCAAAAGTTAAATACATTTCATTTATAACACGACAAGAAGGAAGTCGAGCACAAAGGATTAGCCAGGAACCTGTGCATTTGGTATTTCAATATAAGGCTATTTTATACTAACTGGCATTACTGATGTTGTAACACATACATCCCAAACATTTAAAGAAATAATCCTTCAGGGGAATGAAAGGATATTGCAAAGAGGATGAACCTGTAAACAAATTATACATTAAATTTGTATTTTCTTTAATTTTTTTCCATGACATAATTTGCTTTGGGATAAGACTGCCACACATGAAAGCTTAGAAACTGATCACTGAACAGCTGTGATGACTAAAGTCTTAAAACAAAATTCGATTTGCACTCCTGGGATAAACCATTATAATATCCTCTTTAACAACGGTCATAACTAATATACATTTTCACTTAAGGAGCAAACGGAATCCTATAACCTTCCATTTCCAATTAAAATCGGAAGGAACATTAAAGGAAACTAAGTGACGGTATTTTAAGCTTTCCGATTCCAACTTCTTAAATTGCAGTTGTTGCACAGTGTAATTTTATTTTGGTTTTTGATGCATACATTTAACATGTTTGTATATAATCTGAATTGCGGTCATTTTCAGGTTTCAGGTTCTTGACATTTTCATCAAAAAGTTGCAATAAAATAAACATGATTCTTAGGTAAGCGATCCATGTTCAAAACAACATTTAACAGAAATGAACACTGTGACCATTTGTGCAGAGTAATTTATTGCACATGGAATAAATTATGATTTTATTCACATGGGTTGTAATAAATTTGAACAAGTATTTAACTTCATATAGTTGGCATACAATGATTTTAAATTAACTGCATTTTTTTATTCAGTTTATTAAATGATGCAGAAATTTAGAGTGAAATTCAGAAGCAGCTATGCAGGTAACAAGAAACTATGGTTGTCAAAGTATAAAAAAAATAAATCTGGCAATAGAAAAAAAAAATGTGCTAATTAAACGCTTCTTTTCAAACTATAAAAACATGGAATGTAAAGAAAAACTGGATGTCTTCCTGTCTTGTCAGATGGTCATGGTAGACTGGATGAACTGAAAAAGAAAAAGAAAAAAAAATATTTTTAATATTTACATATATAGACATTTCTACTCTACACTTTTAACAGGTAATTAACCTCTGATCCACGGCCTGCTGAACCTCCATTAAAGTACATGAAAGATGATTCTTCCAGATCTTTAAGCAGAGAATGAGAAAGGAGTATGCTGACAAGACTTATCTGCGGCTCACCCATGGTGTGGGGAAGCCAATCATGTCAGTCTGGCTGAAGACACGGGATGCAGTCTGGGTAATTAGGCAGTCACGGTTTAGGGTCTGTGAAAACTAAGTCAGTTTTGTTCTAGGGGGTGTTCTACATGGCTGCACAAGCTGTCAGCGTAAAGCCAGGTACTCCAGTCCTCCGAGCTCGAACACAGAAACAAGGTGTAAGAACCAAGGCATCACCACCCCTTCATTGTAAAAGGGTTCTATATACACCTGTCAGGATAATATTAAACACCCTTACATATTTGTCAGAATCCCCCCCCAAAAGATTTAATATGATTTTATCAGTATATAAATGTTGAGTCTTCGGGGCATTTGTGAAAGATTTGTAAATGTTATTTTTGAGGCTCTGGAGACTTCTTCCTGAAGGGAGGAGATCATTCGCTGCCAAAAACGTGGAATAAACTTAACACTTCAGATTCCCTTACAGCTTTTCATCCGGAATGAAAGGGGTGCATATTTGTTTTGATGCTGCAAACCAATATTCTTTTTAAAGTGGTGTACAATTCTTTGTATAATCTTGCATTCACAATCTTTGAAGAATATTTTAGCCATTAGTTATTTTTCTGACTTCACTAAATGTAAAGATTTTTCCATTCTTTCCTACTTTTAATACACCAATTTCTATAAATCTGGAATTTCCAAGTACTTAATCAACTGAGCAGCAACCCACATACATGCAAAGGAGAGATCCGAAGATTGCATTTTTTTTTTTGGTTGGTCTATCTTAATTGCAATCCCACAGTGTCCGTGACAGAGCAATAGCATCAGTAAAACTATAACCTTACAGTGCCTGGTCAGTTATAGCAGCACACTTCCAGTTAGGTATTATATACAGTATTGATTAAGAGGTACAGAGGGAAGTAAAGATTTTCTCTTTGTTCGCAATGAAAAGACTAAATGTCTTATCCCTATATCTTTTAATTTATCCTTTCATTTTAAGTGGACGTCCACTTTCACTTTTCCCACAACTTTTAGGTGGAATTTACTTAAAATGAAAGGACAAATTAAAAGATAAAGCGATAAAGATTACTTTAATAAGCTAAGGCACATGCATCTGGATCAGTATGTGCACAGAGAAAGTTGCTGATGCCTTGGTGCCATTGTGTATTTGCTGACATGCAGGAGAAGCAGGTTTAATACTCACGTCATCATATGAAAAACTGGCCACACCCTGCTGACTTTGATCCCTTCTTCTAAACACATCTGTACGGAAAGACAGAAGATGTATATTAATTAAACTGTTTCTTGAATTCATTATCAGCATTTTTCTAGAGTACAATACTTTCCCCCAGTGAACACTATCCATACCCAAGAACTAAAGATGACCATGTGGTCAAAATTCTAAGTATACTCCCTAAATGAAAAGTGTGAGTGAACGAATCAGCAACAAGAAATCAAATTAGATTCTAATCAAATCGGATAAATTAAAAGGAACAAGAACAACAAACAAGAACAAAAAAAATCAAATGACTCAATCTAAATATTATATCTGAACCAAATTCCACTAAAAGACTGTTTCCCATCTTTGGCATGTGATAAATCCTTACCTGCTACAAAGCTTTTAAGATAGCATTCTAAAAGCTTCTAATTTTGTATAAGCATACTTGTAATCTAACACAGCATAAATTTACAACAGATTGAAATGTGAATATCATTTCATTAATTTCACTATTCTGCTTTAAACATGAATTTTGACCGACAAGCCACTCAGAGAAACTTTATATCTGCCAATACCTTCAGTACTTTAGAGAGTTAAGGTATTGTTTTTTAGTTCTCAATACATTTAATAGATGGGCTTGTTTTGAGAACCACAAAGACATTATAGATTAGTAAAGACTTCAGACTTGCAAAGACAAAAATAACATACATACCAGTCAGAGCTCTAATTTTTACGCAGCAAGCCACATAATCATCAAAAGTAATCTTCCCCTGGGTACTGCAACGTTTTACAATTGCAGTCATAGCCTGAGGACTTAGTCTATAACCTGCAGAGATGTAAAATAAACAGAATTTCAGACATTAAGCATCGGATGTATCAAGAGTACCATATCTTTCAAGCAGATGCTGGGAAAAGCTACAGGTCTTGTGCATTTGTGTTTTCAACACAAATAAAAAAAAATAAAACCGAAAAAGTAAAGTTGAAAAAAAAAAAAAAAAAAAGTAACTTTTAATTGGTGAAAAATTAACCAAACCTAAACCAACCCTCCAAAAAAGGAAGGAAAGGAACAAAAAAAAAAATAAAATAAAATTCTGGAAATCGAAAAGCTTTTTCCACAGGCTAGGAAAATAATGCAAAGTGCTATCTAAAATTTCTCAATCTTTTTTTTTTAATACATCTACGGTGACGTGGAAATGAAAGGCACAGAACTGTAAAACTGAATAACAGCCTTCATTAATGGGATATCACTAAATTGATGCTGGATTTTAAAAAGGGACTTTTCCCAAATGGGGCCAATACTACTTCTCATCTTTATTAATTCACTTGTGTTTTTGCCCGTCACTGAAGAATTACAGAGCTGCAGCTGTTTGGCAACAGTCTGCAGGCAAAACTGTCATACTACCCACAATCTCCGTGAAATCTACTTCAACAACCCAAAACAAATGTGAAAAACTGGAAAAAAAAACAATGGGTTCCTTAATACTAACATTCCCACTATTTAATATTTGAATAATTATTGAACACACATGCTTTTCAAGAAATCAAGATTAATTGTGAGTAAGTGTCACTAAAGTGGGATTCCAGTGCCAAGTGATCACTAATAAACCATATTCTCTACTATTATGTTTATAATCATTTCTGTATTTGCATTATTTTTAGGAATTATATTTATTATTGTAATGTTAGGATACAAAGAAAATGTCTTAATTGCTTCAAGGTGACAGGTAAGCATTTCGTATTCAGGCATGTTGGTACGGGACGTTATCAAAAAAAAAACTTTTATGAGCTGACAGAACCTGGCGATTTGTAGGTTGAAAAGAATTCTATCTTCACCATAGAAATTCAATATGGACCACAACATACCACTCGTGTTGAACAACATTCCAATGCCATGGTTCTGCAGTATCTTCTACGGCCACATGCATACCAGCGGAGTGCAATTATCAAGGTAGCATCTTACAGCAGTGTGCATAAAAGTTTTTTATTTTATCAGAAAATGTACCTTTTAATTCAACCCTAACATGCATGTTTCTTAGAACAGCCCCTCTCTCAATCTTTTCCAAAGCCATTCACTACTATCAAATCTGTGAATGTAGGGTGTATGGTTGTTTTTGTCCGTGTAATCACTATATAATATGCAAGAATATATATATCTTAACTAGCAGAATATTCCTGTTGGAGCCCAACATGTCCAGCCGAATGACTTTTGTTAGGATAAGCAGAAAAAGCACAAAAGTACTCCCTTGATATGGAAATGTATTTCTAAGAATACATTAGCACTGGAATAAATTTCGTGACTAAGCAGAAGATACCTACCCATGGAAGCAACTGCTTGTTGCATTTCTGTGTGGTCTATAGTCCCACTCCGATCTCTGTCCATGCTCATGAAGTGCTGTTTCCAGGCATGCAGTATGCTCCACAGCTCCTTGAATTCATTGAAGCCCATCGTACATGACATGTCTCTCTATACTAAAATTAAGGATAAATTCAACAATGACCTGTGTTCAGTAAACTCAGCTAAATCTTATATCACTAAATACGATCACACTGGACTTTCCCTTAAAACAATTTTATGAAAGCTTCCCTCAACTAATTTTTACGATTCATCAGGTAATGCTGTACTTAAGGTTCTCCTGCACACTTAATGAATGTAATGTAAATGAATAATGTAGAATTCAAAACACAAGCCAAAGTATTTTTTGGTCAACATAAGACATGAAAACAGCAACAGAAAAATATTACTTTTCACTTATGAATCAAATCAATGGCTTGAACATGGGAATCAGCACTTCCACGCGTGTACCTTAATTACAGCAAAAGGAAATACAGCAAATCAGTCTTAATACTCGGCAATTGTATTCACAGCATATCAACAATAAAAACATCTCCCAAAGATGTTTGTAGAGATGATTCTCAAGTTGTAATTAAACAATTATAGTATGATTAATAAGAACCAACGGTAATGGCCATTAAGGCAGGTACCACTTACAGTGGATATAAAAAATCTACACACCCTTATTGAAATTGCAGGCTTTTGTGATATTAAGCCAGAAATCAAGATAAATCATGTCAGACATTTTTCCATCTTTAATGTGACCTTGCAACCAACAAAATTCAAGAGAAAAACAAATAGATAATTATGAAAAATAATTAAATATGGACTATGGAATATTAATATAGTACATTTAATACTATTAAATATGGACTTGCCTTTACATCATAAGAGTAGGCTAGAATGGTTAAATAATGCCTCTAAGCATATCAAAAGGCTTTGACTATTGAAAATGGAAAATGAAGACTAACATGCAAGACTCCTAAAAATCTTTTATTTCTATCAATTTTTTTCACACCCATGTTTGCCCCTTTTAAGAAACTCTTACTCTACACAGGCCTGTATGTTTACTTGTGCAGAAAGGATACATCCAACATGCTGATCATTAGCCTACAAGTCTCCAGGTTGAATGCTGCCAAAATAAAATGAAAAATTAGGTTACAAATGTGAACTCACTAAAAGGTAATACTGACCATACTCTATTTATATCAATATTTATAATGTCATCCTTTCTAATTTACATTGCAAAGTGGATTATTTTTGCATCATACAAATCTACGAACCTCTGAATGTTTTAAGCTCCAATTCAGCGCACTTATGTTCTACATTACATACAAGGGTAACAGATATAAAAATAATAAACAAAGGTAAAACAATAGCCTTCTCCCCTTTCTCACACTAAGCAATATGTCAGTCTGTGTCGTCCTGTTGGAACCTCTCAGGGAGATCCAGATCAGGAGAGTTACTTATTTTGGCATATTCTTTTTACTGTTATTCATACCAAGTAATCAATTTGCTCCTGAAACTGGTCCAAACAGACCAGAAATGTCCTTTATTTATTGCAATACACTAGGATACATATCATATTTACATTAAGAAACTATTTTGTCACCTTTTCGATTTATAGATGAAATTGGTGTTGCAAGACTATGTACTAAGTGCTGCTTTTCACTCACAGTGGATTTCCATGAGAAACAATACACTGAAGGTAAATAGGACTCCACCTAACAGAAACTGAGATGTAAAAAGGGTTAGAAACTTACGTTTGTAGCCACCAGAAAAGTTTGCCTGAGTGAGGCATCTTTGGAGCTCTTCTGCATCGATTTGACCATCCTAAAAATCAAAACATGAAAATAACATTTGAACTCACTAATCTATCTTTAGAGACAACTACCACTGCAATCCTTCCTTATACCTAGAGAAAAAAAAAATAATATCCTTATTTGAATTAGGCGGATTGGCTCTGTGGCTCAGGATCTGCGCCTGAGGCTGGTTCGTATCCCGCGGCCGGCAGAGGAATCCTACTCCGTTGGGCCCTTCAGCAAGGCCCTTCACCCCAACTGCTCCAGGGGCGCCTACAAATGGCTGCCCCGGCACTCTGACCCCAAGCTTCTCTCTCCCCATCTGTGTGTCTCATAGAGAGAAAGTTGAGGTATGTGAAAAGACAAATTCCTAATACAAGAAATTGTATATGGCCAATAAAGTGATCTCTCTATTGGCTTAATCTCCCTAGTTGAAAGAACGACAACCTGACCATAAGAATGACCCCCCCACACACACACACACTTTTCTTATGCGGAATGAGCCAGGGAACTGCTATAGTGGGTTGGTAGGAACAATGTGAAACAAAACACGCAAGTGAGTGATAAAGAAAGATGACATTGATACTAAATAGGCAAAAGTGGTCAGGGTGAGGGTCTGACTCCCTCCTGCGGGATTTCAGTTATACTGCAAAACTGTTGTTAACACAATGTTGAAGATTTCCTCAAAAACATGCACCTCATATATACTGACAGATCTAATTAAGAACACTTGGATTGTGTTAAGAAACATCTGCAGTATTCTTTATTATTTAGTATAGACCTGGATCAAATTGCATGTTTGACCTACCTTTTAATTGAAAATCGCAAACCTGGTTACGCTTGGATTTCTTGTTTCTGACCAATAAATGAAAAACCACTGAATGTCGATGAAGCTGCAATAGGCGGTTATGTAAAATGTCTCCCCCCCATCTATGATGCTATTTTTAAAAAGGAAGAATATTCAAAATTGAACCCCTTTATAATCAAGCAAAATAACAAATATCCTATTATGATCCTTAAATAAATTGACAAGTTAAACTTTTACATTTCTGAATACGAAAAATATATGACTGGAATGGATCTGATGGGGGGGGGGGGGGGAGGACAGTCAAACAAATCGCAAAGGAAGTCTGGTAGCTGCCTGACTCATGTGGGGTGAAAGGAAGACTGTGAAATGCTCTTACCTGGCCTGCCACAGCAGAGAAATAACCAAAAAGAGGGTCCTGTGCCTGACCAGGGAATCCTCCATAGCCAGGGGCACCAGGGGCACCACCATACTGGGGAGACACAGAAGGAGAGGCACTCCATCATCACTGCAGCGGACAGTACGTACTCTCTACAACACAGACGTCCTCCCCATTGAACCTGTAAGCCCTTTCATTATATTAAACTGCAGAAGCATAGATGGCTCAAAACAGAAACCTGTCAGCCAAGGGACTTTACCCTGTTTACCTTCTGAGTTACTTTAAGAAAAAAAAAGAGCCATGTTGAATGGAGACCATAAAAAGCATTCTGAATTCCCTCAAGGGGCAATGTTGTTTAAGAAAATGTCATATAAGATCAGATCAGAGTTAAGATCACTTTATTAGCCATATACAATTTCTTGCATGAGGAATTTGTCTTTTCGCATACCCCAGCTTCCATGAGACACACAGACAGGAAGAGAAGCTTGGGGTCAGAGCGCAGGGTCTGCCATTGTACGGTGCCCCTGGAGCAATTCAGGTTAAGGGCCTTGCCCAGGGGCCCAACAGAGTAGGATTCCTTTGCTGGCCGCAGGATACAAATCGGCAACCTTCCAGCCACAGGCGCAGATCCTTAGCCACAGAGCCACCTCTCCGCTCATTGTGTACATTTCATGAGTTACTGACAAAATATTTTGAGAAAGCCTTTTTTAAATCTCTTCTAGTTTAAGTTACTCTTGCATTGTAAGAGATGTATGACTCATCAAATACTGCGGGTATTTGAAAGTAAAACACTGATCAAAAAGCACCACACTCAAGTAGAATGCTCTGACATTAATCAGTGAGTGTACCACTGTATCCTGTATGCAGTGTTAGAATTTCTGAATTATGAGGGACACAATAAGTCACTATTTTATTTTTAACAGTGTTTCAGTGTGTGTTATACATTTTAGAGGTTCAAGCGGGCAGCTGCTTTTGTTTGCAAGTAGGCTAACTCCAAAATAAAAACAGGAAAAAAATGTTTCAACTGCTGAATCTTCTTTAGGAGTCATCTAAAGAAAGAACATCAACATCTTCAGATCACACCTAAAGAACACTGAAGTGCATTTTCTTGCTTTCCACTTGCCAATGTGGAATTAACTGCAAAGTTTGTCTCGTAGGTGCATATTTGCATTGCTGGTGTCCAGAAATCCTCGTTATAGTCACAGAACCACCTTTTGCTTAGCAGAAAATGGTGGATGTTAGGCCACAATACTTTTGTTATTTTTTGTCAAACCAAAGGCAGTTTGTCCTACAATAAATATCCATTAAATCACCCAAGGGAAGACTAGAGAATGACATCCCCCCGTCATTAAAATCAAAATGCACTTTCACCTCACAGCAGCTAAACACCAAAGATAAATTCAAGTGTTACATTTTTTTGCTACAAAACCACCAGCAAACATCACTGAGAAAATCAAGGCCTACATGTTTCAGACAGAAACTGATCCATCACACAAAAATGTCTAAGTGAGAATTTCCATGTTGAGGACCTGATGCAAAACTGAAAGATAACTGCTGGATTTTTAATAGGCAGTTTCTATAAATCCAGATGTTATATTAAATCTTAACTCAATTAGCCACATAAGAGATTTGAAGCATTAAGCAAAAGTGGTACGAACTGCATGTACTCAATTCAGGCCCACGCAGGGCAGAACATGTTTATGCTGTAGCTAGAGACAACACCCACTCCTTTGTTCTGGAAATGACGTACCGTTTCTCTGGGAGAGGGAGGGAATGAAAGGAAAAACATAGCTATCATAGAGACAGCAGTACGTAATGCACAGTGCTTTTTCCCTATTTATTTTACAAAAACACTGATTTTAGGCAAACATACTCATCGCCCTCTTGGTGTAGATATTTATCTTTATTAAAAGGTAAAAAAAACTAGTAGAAAATTCCCCCCATCTGGCCCAAAATTATTAATCATATTTGTACAAAAGACTATAATTGTGAATGTTGTAAACTACATGTCTAACCTGTAGAAAAGAATACTGTCTCAAATGTCTATGTCAAATGGTATAAATAAATATGCAGCAATACACATTTTAAATGACCCTGGGATTAGTTATCACTAGTTTCTAATGCTTAATGCTTGAGGAATTGATGAATAAACAAAACTGATGAATGGCATTTAACTCAGCAGCTAAGCCATGAAGTGAAAAGTGGATCAATATATACTGGAATTAAAAGTGTTTTTAACAGGGAAAAAGAACTGACCAAAGCTATGTTTAAAGGACAAAACAATGGCAGAAAAACATTCATATTATAATACTATAAATAACACAATAAAAATTAAATGAAGATTGAGAAATCAGTTACATTCAGTTGCAACTGTTACCAGTTGTTTTCCTTCCCTTTTCTATGCTGTTTCTGTTTAATATGTCGGTCCTACCTACAAGTTCTTCAAACACTAAAACTACGGGTATCCTTTTGATCTTGGCAAGTTTAAACAATTTTATTTGAGCTGCTATCAGGTGTACATTTACTTAGACTGTGTACTTCATTAAGAAAAAACACATAACTGCACTAGGCCTATATTCAATACATGAACAAATATACAGTACTGTTAGACTTGGAAAACATCACAGTAAGATTCCTTTCTGTTTGAGAGCTACAGGATCTTGTCCAAGTGTTGCATAATGCAGAAAAAATGTTTTATCATTATGTAACTTACCCTCTATCTGAGCAAATTTCCTCAAATTACAAGCATACTACATTTCACAGCTCAAATATAGTAAATCCTCAGATGGATTAAAAAAAAATCTCTGCAATCCACCCCCCCCCCACGGAAAAATACAAACATTTTAACAAATGCAAATCAATTCAAAGCAAGTTTCACTACTTTTTCTTTTTACAGACAGATGGTCAGTAGTGTAGCTGACTCCAAACACAAGCCAATCCAACCATCTGCATCCATGATTGATAGAATTACACTGGACTGAGTCGTGTGGGGAGAGCAATCATGATTCAATTCCAACCACCCAGCTCCCCAACTAAACTGCTCCTGGAAGAAATCTTTTTTTGTTGTTGATGTCCTGAGCCGTTTGAATCATAGACAATAAATACCTACTTAGGATACACCCCCAGTGGGGGATAATGCAGGATTACTATGGGAACAACAAAAAGGTGGGAAGAAGGCTGCTCTATCAGGGATATTGAAAGCAAAAAAAAAAAAAGAGAGGCTTAAGCTAAGAGCTCAGCTAAACAATATTCTAGCAACCCGAGTACCCAAATGAATTTAGGGTGTCTAAGTGCTTGTGTAAAAGATGCTGTTCCAACAAACTGGTTTAAGACTTATTTCACAGCACTATTTTAGGCAACAAAAAAAAATGATTTTTATATTTGGAGGATGTTTTTATTTTAAAGAGTTTCTGCGGCTTTCGTTTCATAAACAGGATTTGAGTCGCTACGTGTTACGTCTCTAAACGGTGTGAAATAAATTGTCTGAGCACCTAGGTGGTTCTGTACACGGCAGAGTGAGTTCATTCAGAGCAAATCCACATTAAAAGATCACCAAGCGATGTGGCAAATGCCTTTGCTGCTCAGAAATATCCAGAAACCAGGAGCTGGGCAGGTAGCCTGTGGCGATCCTGGAGATGCAGAGGACTGCCACCGGGTTGGGAAATGTCTTTGGGGTTTGGGATTATTGTGGAGGTATCGACTATCCATCTGGCATCATTTTATCTTTGTGCTCTGTAATTTGTCCCTGTTAATTTTTTTCATTGACGTGGGAGTCAAGCAGGATTAGCAAGACAACGCCTTTTCTTTAGCATGTTTTAGATAACCGAGTTGATGTTAAGATGTACGGTGTAACAGTCTTAATGATAAGCTTATAGAAAGCATATGCTCCTTTTTAGTTATGTGCTTCTCAATGGCACAATACCTGCATTCATTTTCTAACTGCTTCTTCCTAGTCAGGGTCATGGGAGCGCACCCCAGCAAGCACTGGGTGCAAGGATAGACCCCGGACGGGACACCAGTCCATCGCAGGACAGACACAGGCATGCCACAACACGATTCTAGCTTTACTGGTACTGCACATATGCTGCCAGTCAAAGGCTTTGGGTGTGTGTACTTTAAATTGAGGAAACCCACACAAGCAACTGTAACTACTATGACTCCGGGACGACAGCAACACCGGACCCCTTTCAGTAAGGATAAAAAACACACACAGGTCTAAAAATGTTTTATTTATTTTGTTGTCTTTTGTTTTATAACTATTCTGATGTCTGTTTTTGCTCGTCTTGGGCTGGACTGCTGTAACACATCAATTTCCCTACGAGATTAATAAAGTATTATCTATCTATCTAATGCCTGATCTTCAAGAAACCGTTGTGACCAGTGGCGGATTTCCCATTAGGCACTGTGGGCATAGCGCTTAGGGCCTACGACATTTTTGGGGCCTACGAAGCAAAAACGAGCTGAAACAACACGCTTTTGGGATCGACTGTGATCCAAATCAATAATCCTACGCTATCTAGCGGCTGTTCTAGAAACTAGAAGTATCGAAGTGATGGTCGCTCGACTCGCTCCATCAATCACGTGTTTTAGCATTAGAAGAGTTAAAAGCGCATCATGTCCATCGATGTAGTTTCATATGGCGTTTTCCCCTCGTTTTGCACATTTCGGAGTGAAAGTGCCTAGGGCCTACGAACACCAAAATCCGGCCCTGGCTGTGGCATGGGCCCTCTTTCATCTATGATTACTGCTCTGTAGCAAGCCGTTTTCAGATAGTACCGCATGACACAAAGGAGCCGAGAACGACATTTTGGGAGGGATGTAACTGCAATCTTTCCTGACGTCATTTACTATAGAAAAGCAGAAATACTGCGCTGTACTGGAAGTCTTTTCTGCTCCACCTGGCGTGCTGCCCTTGGTTCGCACTGTAGTCGACAGGGGGGTCTCGGCCTCTTCTTACAGTCAGGAGGCGAAATTTACAACGACGAAGCCCTCAAAACACTTTTTTTTTTTAATACATTCAGTTTTGGGTGTTACTCCTGGCATGATGTAAATTAAGAAATTCCTGTCCTGACCTTTCTTCTTACAGACTACTAACCCAAGATCGGCCAGCTTCAGCTTCAAAGAAACATATAATCCTCCAAGCGCTGAATTTCAAGTCGTTAGCAAAGCTACTCCCGGGATAAAGAATGCATAGAAAGAGAAAGTACGAAACTCTGATCATTTTCTTTTCACGAAGACGAATTCTTGCTACATCACATCATTACATGTTCAAATAATATTATGTGCACGCACGCAACTTACCCCTCCACCATATCCGCCAGGTGCTCCCGGATAGCCTGCGTAAGACATTTTTGTACAGTACAATAACTAACGAGAAAATAAACGTTGTTAGAGACAAGCAGCTGCTAATTGCTCATTCCCACTGCTAGAGGCAGGTGTGGTATCAGTGCGAGTAGGACTGTTCTACTGACCGTACGCATCGGGGGTGAAGACAAACATCGTATTTGGCAGCGTTATGGAAAGAGTGCCGTCTGGTGTTATAGAAAAAAGCATCTTAAAACACTGTGAATTAAGTGAAATGCACTGTGTATTACATTTGTTTGTTTGGTTTCATTTTATTCGTAAAGGAGTTAATACAATGGTACAACCCAGTATCACTTCCTGTTATGAAAACACGATTATTCCGGAATTTAAGCTAGGGGGGGAGGAGGATACTAATGACGAAGAAATTAAATTTGAATTACGATACCCGCGGCGATACAAAAAATGAACTTTTGTAGCAGGGGTTTTGAATGGATGTAATTATTTGTTGCAGGAATAATGGCACTTCTCTTATTTTCAATGTGTTAATTTACTCCCTTGTGTCTCCTTCCGGGTGATGATTTAAATAAAGAAAACCTTTCTTATTAAGAAAATAATCAACCGTGCTACTGGAAATCTTGGACTGGGTTTTTTCCTTGTTTGTTAATGTATTTAGACTGATTCGTAAATTTCATTTTGTCAAATGAAAATAAAATTCTCAATTTTAAAATGTCGACAGCAGTGCTTCTCTAGAAATGTGAAACCACGCCTTTCTCGTCCCGAGTCCTAACCAAAAAGCCAGGCGTAAAATGGTATTTATTACCAGTATATGTTTGTTGTACTTTGTACATTCCAGATAATTAAAACATTTTCTGCTGGGGCTGGGATTTAAAGAATTTTATGTTGCAGTTAATTTGATTCTAGGTGATTTGTCCAATACATTACGCCAATACGTTGTTTAGATGTTATTTCATTTGATAGACCCTGCAGGTCTCCGTGACAGGGTGAGGAGCTCGGCGGTAGCTCCTACTGGAGTAGCGTCGCTGCTCCCCTGGATCGAGAGAAGCCAGTTGAGGTAGTTTGGACATCTGGTGAGGATGCTTCCTGGCTTCTCCCAGTGGGTCTGGAGCAGACCCAGCACACTCTAGAGGGGCTGTATCTCCTGGGAATCCTCCAGGATTTGCTGGAGACTCTTGCTGGGGAAAGGGAAGTCTGGTCTGCCCTGCTCAGCCTGTTACCACTGCAACCCTGAGCAGGAATGAGCAGTTAGAAAATGGATGGATAGATCCTGTTAAATAAAATTTGCAAAACATATTGCTCTTCACACAACACAGGGTTACAGGGTTAAATGTGGTCCTGTTATAAAATCCTGGAGTTTTTCCCCAAAATCTGGATGAGATCCATGGATCAAATAGCTGCTAACAGCAAAATAAGCAAAATGGGTTTAATGGCCTTCTGTAATTTGCAGCCATGTTCTTAGACTCTTCCTTCCCCAGTCAGATCGGTGTGACGGTGATGCTCCTATTTTATGATTTGCAAAATATTTCCGACCTGAGGAGGGTTTCTGTGATGGGGGAGCAAGGAGAGATATTTTGATTGTTTTTCTGTGTTTCTGTTCTTTTTAGAAAGATACAAAACGCAATCACAAACAAATCTTGACAAAACAGCTGTATTGTTATTGACAGTTAAATTTCTTTAATTCTTAAATTTTAGTATAGTTTGCAACTTACATTTTAGAAGTACAGTATTTATACAAAATATGGGCTGTTTTACAGGTGGATGTATATAAAATCATAAAATCCAAGATATTTTTATATTGTTTCAAATGTCACTTTATTTTTTCTAGTGCCTTCTCAAAAGCAGAATATTATTAACATATATGAAAGGATTTTAAACTACTATGTATACCAATTCATTCTTTCAGGTGTCCCAGATGAAACAATAAGTAACAGGTTTAAAAAAACATCATAGCAATAGTTTCTTAATGATTTTCAATATATTTAATTTAATTTTACATGTTTATTATGCCAAAAATGCATAACGATATCCAGCAGTTCATCATTTCTAAAAGTAGTCATCCATCCATCTTCTACCTTTCCAATTCAGGGTCATGGGAGAGCCAGAGACTATCCCAGCAAGCAAGCAGGCACAAACAAAATAAGGACAAGGCAGGATATACTCGGGACAAGACACTAGTCCGTTGCAGGGCAGACAGATGAAAATACAGACATGCACACATCCATACCAGGACTGGTTTTCCCAGACACCAATTAACATGCCAGTATGTTCTTAGACTGTTAGCACTGCTAACCACTGCATCACCATGCCAACCTCAAAGAATGGTCGATTTATGAATAATTATGTTTTCTGTAGCTTGGATTACATTGAAACATTTTATAACTGAGAAGTACTTTCACTTGCATGTATCATGTATGCCACTGTTAACTGATGAACTTGTTAGAGTGTGATTTCATGAGCAGCTCTGATGTGCTTTTCAAAAATATGAAGGCTCATGTCCTCTTTCTACACTTTCTGTTCTGTTATTCTCAGGAAATAAAAAGACTGAAGTGTGAGCCTGTGATTTTGCACAGGCAAACGTGATGTATGCTTGCGTAAAAAGAAACCTGCTTGTGCAGTTTCAGTCACACTGCAATGATGCTGACATAGACATACTGATGCTATCTGAAGGCAGTGTGCGTGTCTGGAATGCACCATGTATGTCTTCCCTTAGTTTGAACACAAGAATTTAAATAGAAAAACAACTATGACTTTTCTGTCATGAAAGCATTCTTATTTTTTTTTTAAATATGTCATAGCCAAATCATACAGTACCTTTACCCTGCCCAACGATTACCTTAATTCTGCGTTTGTGCTCTAAAGCCTGTGTCTGTAGTATTTATATTTTTTTAAACTAAATACGTATTAAGTTTTTGGAAGTTGCTACAAAAAAAAACCTATCTTTTATCTATTTATTGAGTTCTAGCGTGACTTGTGTTTTTCTGTCCCGTTAAATGGTTCTTTTCACAGTGGTACACATAATCCGTAAGGCTATTGTATACAGGTGCCATTTTCCCAAATGATGCCTGCGTTTAAACCTTGCATTCAACATTGATGTGATTTTCAAGAAAATGAATGAACAAATTTGCAAAATGTTCAATATTTAGCTGTACAATAGTGGTACAATTACAAAGACGTGAGAATGAAGTTGCTCATTATTTAGCAGGCATCGATAAACATTCAAATAACATTCAGCTGACCCACACATTGCATATTTAACATTACAAAAAGTCTTATTGAATGTGTACTTAATAACACCTGGGATAGAATGCTGAAGAGAGAAAAAACTCAGTGGCCTTCAGTGAATAATGAAACATATCCTGCCGAGATATGAAAACTCTCTGAATCCCTGAACTGCAGGTAAATGGGTAATCTGTGCCTGAAGACATAAAGCATTTCTTTAGAACAGATTTGCCCTTGAATCGTGTTTCAGTCATTTTAAGTTTCTTTAGAGTTACCAGTGTTAAACAGATTTTTCTTTACATTGGCCTTGCTTCAGGCTTTCTTTGCATCTTGTAAACTGCCAAAACGTATCCCATGAAATACCAAACCAGAAAGCATTAAAACCATTATGAAATCAATTTCCCTACAAGAAAAAAAGAGATCTGATCTTTCCATTAAATAGAACAGGAAAGACCTTATTTAGTTAAAATAATTTCAATGCCTAATCTGTCACACCCCTGTGTCATCCTGGGTGGGGATATGCTAAAACTAAAACATGATAGAAAAGCACCCAGTTAATACTGTTTTTTGCTGTTATATGATCTAAAAGACAGTAAAGACACCTACAGTGGCATTTCAGTTCCATATAGGTAAACACAATGCTGAATATAATGTACAACAAAAATAAAAAGAAAATACTATAACATAGAAAATATACCTAATTGTAAGCCATTTCCATTATAACTGCTTTAAATGTTAATGTATTCTAAATGCTTAAAAAAACAAACTTTGGTAAAGGAAACAGAATCATCCCTCTAATATTAGAGCAATATTAAAGTATTTTATTGAAGGCCAGTCTTTAGCCTTTCTGCAACAAATACAGTTTCCATGTTTTTCTTATTTCCCTTTTCCTGACAATATAATATGAATGATGAATACCTTTCACCATACAGAACAGTAACTCTGCACAGTGGGTTATCTTATTACTGTCCTTTAGAAGATTGATTAGTAGGGTATTTGCAAATCTATTCTACATTTAGGGCTTTTAAGGATGGTAGATGTCACTGGACTCATGTGAGTACAAAATACCACAATGTGTCACAGTGTTATTATCAGCTAAGGTGAATCAATTGCTAACCACGAAGAGATGCCCATTAATGTGGGTAGTGGCACTCCAATAAATCTTAAGGTATCATTTCTCATTACAGAAAACACTCAAAGATTACATCAGTTTTAGATTAAATCAAAGTATCAAACAGTAAAATTGGTACAGTTTAGGGGAGAAACCAGAAAGGCAAGGTTCAGTGTGTCATGAAATAGTAGCTTAGAAGTACTGTACCTAGCTGAGCCAGCAGAGAGAGCCCTTGCTATAGAAACAGAGGCAAAAGATCATTTCTAAGAATACTGTAATTTGAGGATGAATTGGGATATTGTATTTTGTAAAAGACTTATCACAACAAAGGCCACAACTAGAGAATAAACTAAAAATAATTCAGCTAAGAAAACATTGTAGTTTAGCCTTGCAATGAGAGTGTACAATAGTTACATTTAGGCAAAGGAAAAAGGCTACATTTATGAGCACAAATATTACATTAGATTCAGCAAGGTCTGATATGCTCCAAAGATAAAATTATTCTTACATTTTGCACTGATTAAAGTGGCAGACTAATGTTAGTCCTGTTTGTTCACCCTGAGATTTGATGTCTGAAATGTACAGGGGCCTACTTAAAACACTTTGGGCTGTTGAACCCAATTGCTTATAATTTTTCTGTACAACAGTGCCTTCTTGATTGCATTAAGAGCCATGTCCTTTTGGTATTTGGTCCTGGGGTGCATGTCTGAGTCACAATGCCCCTGTTCTCTTCCGTCAATGCTTATGATTATTCTGTGATTAATTTAAGAATTGTATGAAACACTTCAATGGTGTCAGGTCACTTG